GAAAGAGTGGGTCTGAGGATGTCCTCAAGGAACTGTCCCAATATTGAGGGGGGGGGATGCTAAATAAACAGTTGTGATAAAAGGTGAAGTGCAAGATAAGTCCAAGAACTAATAAAAGCACCAATGTGGTGGGATCTGGGAGGCTCAGTCCTGAGAGACCAGGAAGTTTGCCATGAAAAGGGCACAGCCTCTCAGAATGAAGAGGCATCAGAGAACACACCTTGTTGGAAAAGTAATTTGTTAATAGTATAGGAACCCAATATTTTCTTTTTAATTTGCCAGAAGACACATGTACTGTACTTGCCACAGAAAGAGACAGCTAGAGAGAGGTAGAAAGCAGCCCCAATGGAGCTTCCTCACACCGCAATCCTTTCTCCATGCTATTAGGATGTGGGGCACACATGCACATGCGTCTGGCATGTTTTTCAATCTACGGAGGCCAGGATTTGAACTGCAGTCATCCATATGGGGTTTGACTCCCTTAACCACTAAGCCATGGAAATCAGATTCTTTAAAGGTCAGGACTCAGGGCAGCAGATCACTGTTCCTGAATCCATCTGTCTGTCCTGATTGTTGTCCGAGATCAACCACCTTGCTGAGGACTTGGAGATGCCGTGCTGCCAGGGATGCAGCTGAAAGCTGCCTGTCCTCGGGCTGGGGTGACTCTGAGCTCCCTTCCAGCTGGTCTTCAGAGTGGCAAGGCTCATTGTCACAGAACAGGCAACTCTCCTGGTAGCAATCATATCCCACTTGATCACCTGGAAGACATGGTGGAAAAGGTTAATAAGCTCAGAACAAAGGTTAATGGTAACAATAAGATTTTAAAAGGTCAATGAAATTGGGCAATAACAGTTAATTTTCCAGGCTAATGAGTATTAGACTATGACAAGAAATTTATTTCAAGAACACTTTCTTAAGATAATCTTTCTAAACATCTTGTCTTCTCTTTGCCAAATTTTCTCCTGGCCCCCTTTTTTTGCTGGCTATACTTGGTAAATAGGGTTAAATGAAATTTTCTTCATCAACTCTTGAAAATAAGATTATTAAGTATTTCATATATTATTTTTGAGAGCACCCTATCAAACCATCAAATCAAATAAACTTTCTGTCCTTTATGTAACCCTTTAGTCTTTTTAAAAAGACATTTATAGGTCACTGACTCTGAGGAAAGGTCCTTTCTGTATTGATTTTAGTAGAAGTTAAAGTGCGTAATATTCTGCTAATGTCATATTGTCCCAAAAAAAGCTTCATGGAAATAATTTTAGTGTTATTCATTGTTGGGAAAGGCATTAACCCTTTATACCCTATTCAGATTTGAATTGAGGCCAAGGCCTCTCAGAAATGAGTCCAGGGTGTGCCTCCAAGTTCCTGAGTTCTGTCCAAGGCGTGGATGGAAGCCAGGGAGAAGAGGGTGTGCGCTGTTCTGCTGATTTAAGTAAAAGCTACAGTCCTCAGGAGAACATAAACATAAGGATTGTGCCAAATTAGTGATCTGAATTTTATTTGAGCTTTTTAAGTTTTCAATTCTCTGCCATCCACAGAGCTTCTGATTTAGTATCTGACATTGGCATCTGATAGTTTTGAGTGAGTGACGAAGACTTGACGTGCCATTGCACAAGTTGTGCACTTTTCCTTTGGTATCTTCATAGAGAAGTATTTTACCACTACCCAGGATATTCTAGAAAGAGATAGAAAAACACCCTATTAGTGTCATGTGCCATAACTATAACAGCCTCAGTGGGACTCATGATTTGAGAAATTTGGATAACTGTTAAAAATGGGCCATTATGACTCAAATTTTCTTCTTTTTTGAATTATTTATTGAAATTTTAAATTATTATTTTTTATTTTGACCCAAGAGAGAGACAGCAAGCATCTAGGTCTAGGACTCGAACCTCAATTGACCATGTGGGAGGGAGTCCAGCACCCTAACCACCATACCACCTGCCAGCCCTATTAACAAAAACTCAAATTTTGTTAATGTCTGTTTGTAATGTCTAGATCATAGCTTCTTCTTTTTTTCTTTTAGAGAGGTTTTTTGCTATAGGGTGTGTATGCTTGCCAGAAAGAGAGAGATGGAGAGAGACAGAGAGACAGAAAGCCAGAAATCACCCCTGGGGGGATGGTCAGACCGCAATCCCTTCTCCTCCATTCTCCTCTCGGAATCTTGGGCACACATGCCCTGCGTGAGTTTAAGCCACTGGGTCCAGGACTCGAACTGCAGTTGACTACGTGGGACTCCAGTGACCTAGCCATTACGCTAACTACTGGCCCCAATCATAGCTTCTAAAAACACATGCATTTCCATAGATACAAGTAATATAAATTGGATAACTCCAGGCTAACCTCTATATTATTTTGAAATGTCCATAAGTGGGGCAAATAATTAGTTTCTTTCTCATGTTTTAGAACATTGTAAGCCTCAGAGGACAGTGTTATTTGGAGAAAGTGAGATTAGGTATTCTCATTCTAAAGAAGATAATTATTCTGCTAAATGGTATGTATTCCAGGTAGGAATGATTTCTGGGATTTTTTTCCCACTGCAAACTCTGCTAATTTAAGGAACTGTATTTTAGCAATTTTATCTATTAACGCAAATTCTCTATTTGATCAATATAAAAGTATATATCTTACCTGACATTTTTGAGTTGGCAAATATTTACTGGTTGGAATTGCTGATACTCATTATAAATCAACTCTGGTGTGTTATTAAGGCACAAGCTTTCAGGAACCGATGTATTAAAATACCTAATACTAATAACATCTGGTAATGACATTGCCATGAGAGCTTAGTGACTGATCCTGTCACATTTCCAAAAGCATAATATTCTGTAAAGCATCACCTAGAAGATGGAAAATAATCATGATCTTTAAGTTTCAATATCTTTTAAAAAATATTCTACATATCCAGCGCACTACAAGACTAAAGATATTTTAGGTTTTGCATCTCATTACGTCAAGTAATCCAAATACCTAAGTTTTTTTCCCTTTTTATTTATTTATTTTTTTTGGAGAGGTTTTTGCTATAGGGCATGTGCGTTCGCCAGACAGACAGAGAGAGACAGAGAGACAGAAAGCGAGAAATCACCCCCCAGGGGGGATGGCCACGCCACAATCCCTTCTCCTCCATTCTCCTCTTGGGATCTTGGGCATACACGCACACATGCCCTGCCTGAGTTTTAAGCCACAGGGTCCGGGGCGTGAACCACGGTCAACTACATGGGAGTCCAGCAACATAGCCATTACGCTAACTGCTGCTCCCAGTTTTTTCCCTTTTTATTCACAATAGAGTGTGCACATGCACATGTGAGGGCAGCGCCCTTTCCAGGTTGGTCACACCTTCCTCCTCCTCCAGGCCTCTAGCCTGTTGGATCTTGAGCACTTGTGCACATGCCTGGCATGTTTCAGGATGACTGAGCCGGGAATTTGAACCAAGTTGCTATGTGGGGTCCAGCTTCTCTTAAGCAACACATGTTATCACTGTGCCAGAGCTGGCCCCTAGCTCATTTTTTAAATTATATTATGTATAGAAGGGTCTACATAGAAGACAGCTCTATGCACTTACAATCAGGAAGAAGGAGCTAGACAAAAATAACTTCTATAAAATGGAATGAAATAATATACATAATCCATATTACCCACATACAATGGTGCAATAAGTACCATTGTATGTGGGTAATATGGATTATATATAAGCAGTTCCCGAATGCTTATAAAGAATATAAGGAATAGAGACTAACACCCATCAGGGTGATTTATAAGGGATGTGTGTATGGAGTGTTAGAAAGTGAGGATGTTTTGGTGGAAACGGTGACACTGAAACTAGGAGGTGAAAGTACAGTTCTGATGTTATAACGCACAAGGTCTTTTAGTAGCTCCAGAATCTAAGAATGTGCATATATATCAACAGGTGGAGACAAGGAAGAGGACAACCTAAGCAGAGAATTGTGTATAAGCAATGTCAAGGAGGTGAGAAAGATCAGGATTGTGATGAGAATCCCAGTATGGTTGGAAGTAGCATGAATGGAAACTGGGGTAGCAGCTAAATATTGAGGATAGAAAGAATGGTCAAGACCTAGTCATGACGATACAGGCAGTAAAGGCACTGCTACACCATGCTGAAGGCCACGTGGGAGGGCTCCAGATTCACATCCCAAGTCTATCTGAATATGCCAGGGATACTCATAATCCTGGCTAGCTTCAGAGCTGAGGGAAGGTTGACAGCATGAAAACTCCATCAAGAGTGCCTGTGTCTGTCTGTCTTCCCCCCTCCCCTGTCACAAAGGAAATTAATTGTAGGGAGTGGCCCAATCTGAAAAAAAACATGGTGACCTTCAGACATATGTAGAAACGCTGTATGTGAGCTTCATTTGCTTAGTGATGAAAGCATTACCAAATGAATACACTAACTGCCAATACTGCAAAGCGGTATTTGACTAAGGAAGCCACGTGTGTTATTCAGGTTTCATCCAAAAAGATCAGAAGAAACCAAATGGCACCAGTCGTTTTCATGTCATCAGCCAATTGACATCTAGAAACAACTGGCTTTGCATCCCATTTCCTCTTCCCCCATTTTCTGCCCTATAAAATAATAAACCTGTGCTCACATTGGCAGCATATAGACTAAAATTGGAACAATACAGGGAAGATTAGCATGGCCCCTGCGCAAGGATGACACGCAAATTCGTGAAGCATTCAATTTTTTTATATGTGATTCAATGTAATAAAAAGATTATGATAATAAATTTTAAAAAAAGTAAACAAAATAATAAACCTGAGGCTGGTTTGAGGTTGCGACTTTTACTATCAGAGAAGTTGGGCCCACCTGATCCTCAGTTTTCTAAATGGCTTTGTGTATTTGTACATTTATTTCTAATCCACAGCCTTCCCAGACACTCAGAAAAACCCATTCTGCTGAGCAGGTCCCAGCAATGAATAAACTTTAGAAATGAAAGAAAGAAAAAATATATTTAATACTTATTTGGGGAGGATCTTAAATTTTATGTGAAGGAGTTTATAGACTTTATGCCATAGGCAATGAGAAACCAAGTTGAAGGAATGATTTTAATTTATAAAACTAATGTAAAATGGATGTAAATATTCAATTATAGGACAGGGAAGACATGGTGTAATTGTAGCCCTATTTAAAAGGCTTAAAGGCTTAAGCTGACTTTTTTCTGAGTCAACTTTGTAATGATATGATGTCAATAACTTTTTTGCCGTCTTTGTTTTTAAGCTATTAGAAAAAGAGTATCTAGAACAAGAGTGAGGATTTTGTGTTACTAGAGTCTCAGAAGGACTCAATCAACAAATATTTTCAGAAGCTTTAGGATGTTCTAAGTATAATCTTTAGAAGGAGACATTGGGTAAGCTAGAATTTACCTGAAGGACAATGACCAAGATGGAAAAAAATTTAAAGCAATGAGGTACGGCTGAGGAATATTTTTGATTCAAAGAAGATTAAAGGAGAAGGAAGAAACTATCTTGAGTTATCTGAGCAGAATGGACTTGAGAATGAAGAAGCAGAATTGGACTTGTTCTGACTAATTAGAGAGCTGAAAACTATGATCATTGGGTAGAAGTTAGATGGCTGATTTCAATCCAGTATTAAGAAGTTTCTAATTTGAGAGATTAGTGCCTGTGGCAGGCTAGTCAGTCTCAGAAATGAATGTCTTTAATAAAATGACTTTTGAACAGAACATTTGTATATTGAATAGAAGAGAGATGACAGTTTACTCTTAAACACAGTGACTTAACTTAGACAATGATGTGTTGTAGAGATATATGCAAGAAGGAACTTCAAGACAAAGCATAGGGGAGAGTTACTAATGTAAGATGCTATTGAAATGAACATTTCTGTAATAAAATAAAATGGCATTGGACACAAAGTCAATAGATAAATATTGAATAGATAAAATGCCATTGGACATAGAAATTCAAAATTTGAGGGCAGATTCAGTAGAACTAAAGGCTTAGACACCAAATCCACAAGGTGTGAGTAATTAAATAAGTAATGGAGATCTGGCTTCTCAAAGAGTCAACAAATACTTATCAAAGCTGTAATGTGTACCGGAAATTGTTTTAGGTGTTAGGGATATAGCAGTAGATAAAACATGAAACGTTTTGCCTCTATGGAAGAAGGTGAAAATGGGGTAATACAAAGCAAAACGATTACATATAATAGTGCAAGGTTATAAGTGCTATACAGAAAAAGAGCAAAAAGGGTCGAAAGTGCAAGTGTATGCAAGATTAAAGGGGGGAGTTAGGGAAGACAGCACTGTAAAGATCATCACTGAAAAAATACTTGGATAAGGTGAGGGGGAGACTCATACGGTTGTGTTGGACAGGAAGACACCAGACAGAAGGAACGATAGGTGCAAGGCAAGAATACATCTGTTGTATTTGAGGAATGACAAGGAGACCAGAGAGCTAGAATTGAGTGAGAGAAGAGGGCCAGATTGTTTAACCTGTATGGGACATGAAAAGGACTTTAGATTCTAAGTGACATGGGGAGCTACTGGAGGATTTTGAGCAGAAGAACATGATCAGACATGTATGTATTTTAGGAATGAATTATTTAATTTTATTTATTCATTCATTCATTTAATTTGACCAGAGAGAGATAAAAAGAGAGAGACACAGAGAGCAAGGAAAAGTCAGAAAGCAAGCTACCAGTCTGGGACTCAAATCGTGATCAGCCATGTGGGAGTGTCTAGAGCCTTAACCACTGTCCCACCTGCTGGCCCCCGATCAGACATATTTTAAAAGGATTGCTTTGGGACCAGCAGTTGGCATAATGGCTATGTCGTTGGACTTCCATTAAATCAACCACGATTCGAGTCCTGGACCTGGTGGTCTTAAACTCACGCTGGGTGTGTATGCATGCATGCCCAAGATCCTGAGAGGAGAATGGAGGAGAAGGGATTGCTGTGTGGCCATCCCCCCCGGGGGTGATTTCTTGCTTTCTGTCTCTCTCTCTCTGTCTTTCTGGCGAGTGCACGAGCCCTATAGCAAAAAACCTCTCAAAACAAAACAAAAAGTCAATTGGAAGTAAATAAGATTTTCAGTAGCATTACAACTAAGTATTTGCATAAATTTGTACTGTATTTCAACAAATCGAAGGTAAACAATTGTAGCATACATTGTTATTTTATGTACTACCAAATAAATAAAACAAAATACCCAAGATAGGCCCACATAAAGCTGGTATATCAAAGTTAATATTTATGCAGATCTGTGTCCAATTTCCTACCACCAATATAGGCTGAAACATCTTAAGCAGTAAAGTTCAATAAAATCGTATAAAGTCAATAGTGTGCCCAGGAAGCTGGTAGAAGCTAATACAAATCCTCCCTGGACGAACTCGTTCAATCCGGTTCTACAGGAATAGTAAGAGCCCATGGAAAGGTGCATTCTGAGTTGAGAATGTCAAAACATGAGAAGACAGGAGCTTTAGAAATAGGGAATGGGGCCAGTTTGCATAGTGGCTTCTCCAGAATGTTAAGCAGCATTGGATAGTGAAAATTGAAAATTCATGGTGAATTTCACATGGAATGAATTCTTCCCACCAAGCATCTCTATTCTGATAGGTAGAAGCTAGATTTTCAGAAGTGGCAGTTGACACCCTCCTTCATTCCATGCCCATTGCCTTTCTCAGAGCATGGAACAGAGCCTGGTGTGTAAAGTGTGTTCCATAGATACTGGAGTGAAGTGAATAAATCAAATCTTAATTTTGACACTCTTCTCTCACTTAAGTTGATTAGAACTCAGCATTCTTTTAAATGTAGTGACTCACCGTAACTCAAGATTAGCATACAACTTCAAACCTATTTTCCATCTCTGAGCTAGAAATTTTTTGAGAATTATTTAATTTGGCCAGAGAGAGAGAGAGAGAGAGAGAGAGGGAAAGTGAGAAAGCAAGCTGCCAGGTCTGGGACCCAAACCATGGATGGCCACGTGGGACTCCAGCGCCCCCAACCATCATGCCACCAGCCCCTATTAAAGATTAAAAAAAAAAAATCATTTGATGAAAACAGGGGAAAGTACTGGTTCTTAAATTCATGAGACCTAAACTATAGTTCCTAATATATGAGAGTTATGATAAGTCTTTTAATATCATTGCTGGTTTTCCCATTTGGAAAGGTGAGAGTAATTTCTCTCCTGCCTACCTCACAGAAATTAATGAGTCTCAAGACAGATGATAGATATAGAGTGCTTTTTAAATTGACGTGCTTAGAAAACTGATTTTTATATTTTAGGCAGCTCATTAATTTTTAAATTGAAGTGCTGCTTAAATGAGTTGAATAATAATTTGGGCAGCTTATTTTTACATGTGTATTGAAGATGATGGACTTGAGTGGGGAAAGACCAAGAGTTTCTGGTTAAGAATGATCAGTGTTTGGTTTAGGGAACACGGCATAAAAGAATATGGTATCTCATTCAGTTCTGAATGCTTATTACGTAGAGGGTGGTAGGGCTATTAATAGGTCTCAGGTTGTTGATAAAGATATCTGAATTTTGAAAGAAGTTTATTCTGACATGTTAAGTTCCAGCTGAATGTAGCAATGGAAGAAGTTAGGATTTATCACTCACTGGGATTTCTTTTCTTGAATAAGATGAATGCATACAGGAAAATAAAGGTAAAGGATTATGTGTTCACTTAGGTAGAACTACCTTCAAAATGCTTAGACTTGTTTCTAAAGTTGTTAGTACAAGGTCAGAGGTGACCTTACTGGGAATTGGAGGAATGACATCGCAACGCTGAGACTGTGATGAGGGATGACCTTGGAGAATGTGGCTGGTTAGTGTTGGTATGTCGCGCGGTCAATCCATAATTCATATGAATTCATTATCCATAATTCAACTTCTGAGTGAATGTTATAAATTTTAATTAGACTAATAATAACTTAGAGTGGAAGGATAGGTTTCTTCAACTTACAGATCTAAGTTCTAGTATTTTGTAATTAGATGAAATTTAAAAGGCAGTTTCTGGCCCTTAATACTTGTCCGTTTGTTGGGTAAATATTAGCAACTTGAGCAAAACCAAATTCTTGTGCGCGCACACACACACACACAAATTCCATTGCCTTTTATCTTCTTCTTTTTTTTTTTTAAGAATTACTTTATTTATTTAGTTTCATTTGACCTGAAAGGAACAGAGTGAGAGAGGGAGAAAGGGAAAGTGAGAAAGCAAGCCTCTAGGTCTAGGACTCGAACTGCAGTCAGCCATGTGGGAGTCCAGTGCCCTTAACTACCATGCCACTTGCTGGCCCCATTGTCTTTTATCTTCTAAGAGTCTGTAAAATCTATTATTAGTTGTAAGCTGAAACACAGGTATAGTATCTTATTTACAATTTTTACTCCACCATTTAGTGTATTTTTCTCAACCTTTCCCTAACCCGGTGCATGTATCTGGAAAACAATTTTACCAGGAGATAAAATTACTCTGATAAAATATACAAGTGTAGACATAGAAAATCAAGTTGGATGTGATCATGACTACACACCTTTACAGTCAAGCAGCAGAGTGCTTATAAGTAAGTATGCGATATTATTTATTACTTTAGAGTATCTAAAAGCCCAAATAGATGACAAAGGATCTGAAGTGAGATTTCTGCACACAAGATGATGATTTTCTTACATAATTACTGTGCCCGCCCACAAAATTTGAAGGGGTGGGTTGTAAGAGTGGAAAGTGAGAACAGCACATCCTCTGATCACTCTCTTCAATGTTTTCTAAGTCAGACCTTAAATATCACATTCTTTGTCAAGTTTAATAACAGAAAACTTCCTCTTGAGGCAGTTTTATTTCACAATTTTTTTTGCATGTTTGCCAGATTTGGTAAACCTAGATGCGCAAAAAGAAGAAAATGTAAACCATTCATAGCCCTACCAACTAGAAATAGCCGCTGTTAACATTTTGATGCATACCCATTTACACACATTTCGAACTTAACATTGGGTTATAATTTACTTTTTTCTCATAACTCGATAGATCATTCATGTCATGAAATTTATTTTATTGATTCCCTCTCAAGCCAAATCCATAGCACAGTGGTTATGGGAGCTGGATCCCACATGGCCAACCACAGTTCAAATCTCAACTCCAGCTGCTTGAAAAACACACTGTGCATATGTATATGCATGTTTCAAATCCCAGCAGGATGGAGAGAGGAGTAGAAGGAATTACGGCATGACCACACTCTATTAGAGTACGCTTCCCCCCTGTCCCTCTCTGTCTCTCTCTGGTGGGCACATGTGCCCTGTGGCAATTGATTTTATTTTTTTCAAAGTATACCTCTACCTCTTATAAGTTCTATAAACATAATTGATGTATCTACTTTAATTGAAATATACTTCAAACGTAACAGAAGGTCTCCACAGCTAGTACAGACCTCGAACTCGGTCTCTGTAAAGCTAATGGGTAAGACAAATGTCTCCTTACGATAGCTGGGAAGATGCCATAGACCAAGGTTTTGTGCTAGGGATTATAATATTTATTGACTCATTGACTTCGTGCTTAAGCCTACTATTTACCCAGTAATCATGCTTTCAGCCATTTTTTTTTAATCAGCTATGTATGAGATATCGTACCCATATGTATGTAGAATAACAGCAGCCACTGCCCAAATCAGTTTGTAGTTTGAGGTAGCTGAGTGTGGATCGCAAAGTAGGAAATGATGAACGGGGAGCACGCTGTGGTCCTTTATCAGAAGGTAGCTCTTCTTTCCAGTGGCTATCTGATAAGCTGTATAGGGAACTGGGCTTTGAGTCCTGGAGGGTGAGTATCAATAGAATTTGGACACATGAAAATAGGGGTCAGAAAGTTAATAAAACAGCCAAATCCCTGAAGTGGAGAATCCAGGATGATTAAGAAAAGCGGTAAAGTGTGGTGTATTTAGAACTGAAAGCCCATGGGAGATACTTAGGGGCCAGCAGGTGATGCGGTGGTTAAGGCACTGGACTCTCACATGGTTGCCCACAGTTTGAGTCCTGGACCTGGTAGCTTGAAAATCTTGCAGAGTGTGCATGTGTGCATGCCCCAAACCCTGAGAGGAGTATGGCGGAGAAGGGAGTGCAGCACAGCCATAACCCCTGAGGAGGCAATTTCTTATTTTCCCTCTCTCTGTCTCTGTCTTTCTCCAGCAAGTGCACATGCCCTATGGCAAAAGCCAAAAAAAGAAAGAGAAACTTATGTTAGATAAGATTTTTGCTCTAGGGCACATGCATTTGCCAGAGAAACAGAGAGTCAGAAAGACAGAAAGGGAGAAATTACCCCCCAGGGAGGATAACCGTGCCAGAATTCCTTCTTTATTCTCCTCTCAGGATTTTGGGCATGCATGCACATGTGCCTGGTGTGAATTTTAAGCCACCAGGTCAGGGACATGAACCACAGTCTACTATGCGGGCATCCAACAACATAACCATTATGCCATCTGCTGTCTCCACTTACAAGTTCCTGCTACTTTTTAAATGTTATTTCTTACTTCCTTTTAAGTTAAGATCTGTGGAGATCTAATACTCTCCCCACTGCTGACAGAGACCAATGAGGCCATGGTCACCTTGATTTCTGGTACAAAAAACAATAGCAGTGGCTTTTGGGTTTACATTTACTGCTGTACAAAACTTGGAAGCAGGTATTCCAGGAATTGACTTCCCTGCTGTTTTCCTTTGATCCCACATGGCCATTCGTGGTTCCAATCCCAGTAGTCAGCCACAGTTTAAATCATTAACCACAACAGCTTGAAAAACACACTGTGGGGGAGGCCAGCAGGTGGTGTAATGGCTAAGTTGCTGGACTCCCATGTAGTAGACTATAGTTAGAGTCCCAGACCCAGTGGCTTAAACTTACACTGGGCACACGTGCATGTGTGCCCAAGATCCCAAGAGGAAAATGTAGGTGAGGGGATTGCGGCGTGGCCATCCCCGCTAGGGGATGACTTCTTGCTTTCTGTCTCTCTGTCTTTCTGGTGAGCACATGTGCCCTGTAGCAAGGGAGCACCATTGCCCTTTAGCAAAAACCCCTCAAAAAAAAAAAAAAAAAGAAAAGAAAAAGAAAAACACACTAGGCATGTGTGCATGCATGCCCCAAACCCCACTAGGAAGGAGAAATGGAGAAGAAAGGATTATGGAGTGACCACGCCCCACTGAGGGTAGGGGCTTTCTCCCTCTCTGTCTCTGGTGAACACATGTGCCCTCTGGCAATTAAAAACAACTTTTAAAAAATAATACCTCTGGACCAGCAGTTAGCATAATGCCTATGTTGCTGGATTCCCATGTAGTCAACCGCGGTTCGTGTCCCAGACCCAGTGGCTTAAAACTCACTCTGGGCGCGTGTGCGTGCCCAAGATCCCTAGAGGAGAATGGAGGAGAAGGGACTGTGGCGGTGTGGCCATCTCCCCTGGGGGAGTGATTTCTCGCTTCTGTCTCTGTCTGGCGAGTGCACACACCCTATAGCAAAAACCTCTCCAAAAATAAATAAATAAATAAATAATACCTCTACCTTTAATAAGTTATATAAACACAATTGATATATAACCTTTGGCATACATTTCAATGAAAGTAGATGTGAGGTCTCCCCAGCGGATACAGACCTCAATCTCTAGGAGAAAGAAAATGTCTTAGTCATTCACTTTGGATTTCCCCAACTGTCCACAGGTTCAGGGTACAGGAGTGCAGCTGTTTCAGCAGAAGAGACTGTTCACTTTGCCAGTTACCCTGAGCTTTATCCCAGAAATATAAACTGTCGTTGGTTTATTCACGTGCCAGGGAAACACATCATAAAGGTAAGCCACTAAAGAATCTCTTTACTTGGCTATGTTAGTGAGGCAGAATTTATTTCATCTAAATTAAGTTGCCATTATGACTAGGAGCTTCTTTTCGCTGTTTTTTAAATTCTAAGAACAAAAAGAACTCTATGGTTTGAACTCTTTGTTTATTTTTTTAATTACCAGAGCGTGTGTGTGTACTGGCCAGAAAGAGAGAGAGCACTCTCCACAATCCTCCGTCCTCCCCGGCTCCAGCCCGCCAGGACTCTGGGCATGCAAGCACGCATGCCCAGAGTTTCCAAGCTGCTGGGGACAGGACTGTAGCCCCAGTTGGCCATATGGGCTCACTTCTCTGTATACATGACTTAGCCACTGTGCTTCAGAGCCAGTCCCATGGGTTAAAAATTTTTAATGGTGAAGTCGGCAGATGGTACAGTGGTTAAGGCACTGGGCTGCCACATATCTGAATGTGGTTCAAGCCCCAGACCCGGTGGCTTGAAACTCACACTGGGCACATGCGTGTACATGCCCAAGGTCCCAGGGGAGAGTGGAAGTAAAGAGATTGTGGCATGGCCATCCCTCAGGGGGTGATTTCTCACTTTCCATCTTTCTGTGTTTGTCCCTCTGGTAAGCACATGCACCCTATAGCAAAAAAAACTCTCTGAAACAAAAAATGGTATGAAAATATATACAGTGAAAAATAAGGCTTTGTCTCCAGATAATCCCATACTACCCCCTGGAGGCAAATTACTAATTAATTACTACAGTATCTGTGCAGACATATTCTGTAAACACACACACACACACACGTTCTTTGGTAATCCTTTGTCCACTGAAATGTACCTCAATGTTTTTTGTTTGTTTGTTTGTTTGTTTTCGGGTGACCCTATAGAACTCTTTTCATGGCTGCATGGAATATTGTGTGATGTTTCATAGCTTATTAAACTCGTTCACTATTTTTTTAATTTTATTTATTCATTCATTTATTTTCATTTGACCAGAGAGAGACAGAGAGAGAGAGAGAGAAAGCGAGAAAGCAAGCCACCAGGTCCAGGACTCAAGCCATGGTTGGCCATGTGGAAGCGTCCAGTGCCTTAACCACCACACCACCTACTGGTTCCCTAAACTGGTTCACTATCAACATAAGCTTAGCCAGTTTTCCATTTTTGCCCATCCCAGCAATGCAGCCAGGAACAGCTCTGATCACTGTTTTTAGACACATGTGGATACATATTATTCCCAGAAGGGGGCTTGCTGGATTCAAGAATTTGTACATTTAAATCTAGTACTCTAGTATGTTGCCAAGTTGATCTTCAAAGAGACTGCAATTGTTTACACTTTTGTCAACAGTATTTGAGGATGTGCCAACCTTTAAATGTTAAGAGGAAAATTCTATCTTTTCTCTTCCCTGACCACTTCTCTGCTGTTTATTATTTGTACAGTTGACATTTGAGGACTTCACTGTTGAATTGAACCAAAACTGTATTTGTGATGCTGTTGTAATTTATGGTGGTCCTGAAGAAGAGTATGAGTTAGGTGGGTAACAGTCCATCCTTTATTTCTGAAAGACTACTGGCTTCTTTGAGTTCCAGGAAGTAGAGTGGGAATGTCAATTTCTTGCGCTGGATATTCACAGTGTCATAAAACTGTAACTTTAAAACCCATCAATGAGCAACTAATTCATCAGCAAAGTTTTTGATAAAAACACGCAAGTTGTGACGAATGTTCCAGATTATTTGGAAGGTGAAAATGAAGTCCTCAGAGAAATGGGGAAATGGTAACAGTAAGTTTTTGGCAGTCATATTAGGTAAAATTTTAAACTTTCTTCATTCTGTACTAGTCCTTCTGCTGCTCATGTTTTTATTTTTGTATCCAACAGAAAACTAGAAATTACATTTCAATTTTTTTTAAAGGTTTTTACCATAGGGCACATGTGCTTGCTAGAGAGAAATCACCCTCCAGGGGGATGGTTGTGCTACGGTCTGTTGTCCTCTGTTCTCCTCTCGGGATTATGGTCAGACATGCATACATCTCTCATGATTTTCAAGTCATCAGGCCTGGGACTCAAACCATGGTCAGCCATGTGAGAATCCAGCACCTTAAACACCTTGCCACCTGCTGGTCCCCCAAAATTATATTTCTACTTATGCCTTAAAGTTACTTTTAATACCCAACCTAATCTTCAAATATACTTTTAGTTAGCACCAAACAATCTATTGAGTATTAAGAATTAACTTCCAGCCTTGTCACCAACTTTCTCAACCTATGATTTGTCTTTCAGCTAGATGGTAGGGTGGTTAGAGACCAGGACTATAGATACGCTCCGTGTATTTATCAGACATGAAGGGCAGGTGAGGGGAAGCACCACCTCGTAATCCGGCAGAGCGTGGGCGAAGCAGATCTCTAGGCGACACCTGCTCACTGAAAGTACAGTCATGTCTTGCTAGGAAGGAGGAATACACTAGCTTCGGTGTTTGGTTTTTGTTTTGCTTTCACCCAGCTTGTTTTACTGTAAGCAGTAAAGCTGAAGTTTTTGAGCGTACCATGAGTCATTGGGAAAGTCATGACATATTTTTCTATGCAAAAGAAATCAGTTGTCTTTTCCCTATTAACAGAGCTTTTTCTGCAAGATAACATTGTAATGTATTGCTATTGTGAGATTAATGTGTAATTTCCACAGCAGATATAAAGGTGTACCTACAAGCCAAAATGATAGAAAACTAAAATTGCTAAGAAAAAAATTAATGGGGTGAGATTTTACCTCTGTGCTCTGATTTTTAATTTTTTTATAAGTATAAATCTCATATCCCTAAAACATTTACAGCTAGATTTTGTGGAATTGTGACTCTCACTTCAGTACTCAGTCCTAGTAATGCGACGCTGATACATTTTGAAAGTGATAGTGAAAACAATTCCCCAGACTTCAAGCCTGGACTAACTTTTTTCCCCTCAGGTGAGTATACACATTTCTAAAATAGGGATTTGTGTTTATGAAAGCAGTAATAGGGAAGATCATTTAACCATGTTTACTCTAACACAGGAGGTTTTTTTAGCCCTAACATAGGGATTCCTTATCTAACTGAAGAGATTTACAACATGCAGCTCTGGATGGTACCCAAGAATCTGGGCCTTGGCAGGCACCTCAGATAATGCTCAAGAGACTGCATCCACTGTGAGAAAGAGAGAGAAAGAGATTCCAAGCACTCTATGTGAAAAAGACAATTCAGACTAGACCATGTAATTCAGAAGTGAGAATGGCTCTCTTTTAGATATTAGAGAGTTTTGAAGGATTAATGGATTTCTTGATCCCCTAAAAGATAAAATACACTTTACTTAGATAAGAGGAATATCATATGTAAAGACCCTAATGAAAGAGAATGGACAATGCACAAGAAAAGCACAAATAGCATTTCTTTAGTTTGAGAGGAAGTAACAGAGTAGGCAGGAGTTAGGGCATGCTAGATACAAGGCATGAAGTTATTAGTGTACCAGACTGATATGATAGCTAAATAATTTTTAGATAATTGTGCTGACTTCTTTCACCCAATAAGCATAGGAGGTATGTCCACTGCTCTCCTTTCACAGATGAGAAAATTGGGGCTTAGAGAAGTTAAGTAACTTTCTCAAAGATGCACAGCAGTCCAAAGACGGCGCCAGAATTCAAATCTGGTCTCTCAGCTCCAAGGCAATATGGGAGATGGAGAAGATTAGAGATGAATTTGTATGCAAGGAAAATATTTTAGAATATTTTTTTATAAGAATTTATTCTGGACCTGTTGCTTGATTATATATACTGTGGAGACTGGGTATCTAAAGAAGGGAAAGGTCTGCTTCATTTCCAGGATCCTAGCTTGAGGTTGGTGGGGAGAGCCACGACATGATAAAAGGAAACACAAAACAGGCCGATACCGACCGCAAAAATCAACTGGTGCCATTTGAGACACGTGAATGTTCATAGTTGATCAGAAATTCAAATGAAGCTATCTAGCAGTTCTACGTCTAGAATTCAAAAAAGAGATTTCTAGATAAGAGAGAAATTTGAAAGTCATCTGCATGTAGATAAGTTATAATAGGGTTATGAACAGTACCTTGTAGAATATCTCTTCAGGCTAAAGGATAAAGACTAAAAAAACTGAATTGAGAAGAGATGACTGGGACCAGTACTTGGTGTAATGGCTATGTCACTGGACTCCCATGTAGTTGACACAGTTTGAGTCCTGGACCCAGTGGCTTGTGGCTTAAACTCACACTGGGCATGTGTGTGTCCATGTCCAAGATCACAAGAGGAGAGTGGAGGAGAAGGGATTGTGACATGGCCATCCCCCCCCGCCCCCCGCTGGGCATTATGTTGTTGGGGGTTTCTCACTCTCTGTCTCTACACTAGCTTCGGTGTTTGGTTTTTGTTTTGCTTTCACCCAGCTTGTTTTACTGTAAGCAGTAAAGCTGAAGTTTTTGAGCGTACCATGAGTCATTGGGAAAGTCATGACATATTTTTCTATGCAAAAGAAATCAGTTGTCTTTTCCCTATTAACAGAGCTTTTTCTGCAAGATAACATTGTAATGTATTGCTATTGTGAGATTAATGTGTAATTTCCACAGCAGATATAAAGGTGTACCTACAAGCCAAAATGATAGAAAACTAAAATTGCTAAGAAAAAAATTAATGGGGTGAGATTTTACCTCTGTGCTCTGATTTTTAATTTTTTTATAAGTATAAATCTCATATCCCTAAAACATTTACAGCTAGATTTTGTGGAATTGTGACTCTCACTTCAGTACTCAGTCCTAGTAATGCGACGCTGATACATTTTGAAAGTGATAGTGAAAACAATTCCCCAGACTTCAAGCCTGGACTAACTTTTTTCCCCTCAGGTGAGTATACACATTTCTAAAATAGGGATTTGTGTTTATGAAAGCAGTAATAGGGAAGATCATTTAACCATGTTTACTCTAACACAGGAGGTTTTTTTAGCCCTAACATAGGGATTCCTTATCTAACTGAAGAGATTTACAACATGCAGCTCTGGATGGTACCCAAGAATCTGGGCCTTGGCAGGCACCTCAGATAATGCTCAAGAGACTGCATCCACTGTGAGAAAGAGAGAGAAAGAGATTCCAAGCACTCTATGTGAAAAAGACAATTCAGACTAGACCATGTAATTCAGAAGTGAGAATGGCTCTCTTTTAGATATTAGAGAGTTTTGAAGGATTAATGGATTTCTTGATCCCCTAAAAGATAAAATACACTTTACTTAGATAAGAGGAATATCATATGTAAAGACCCTAATGAAAGAGAATGGACAATGCACAAGAAAAGCACAAATAGCATTTCTTTAGTTTGAGAGGAAGTAACAGAGTAGGCAGGAGTTAGGGCATGCTAGATACAAGGCATGAAGTTATTAGTGTACCAGACTGATATGATAGCTAAATAATTTTTAGATAATTGTGCTGACTTCTTTCACCCAATAAGCATAGGAGGTATGTCCACTGCTCTCCTTTCACAGATGAGAAAATTGGGGCTTAGAGAAGTTAAGTAACTTTCTCAAAGATGCACAGCAGTCCAAAGACGGCGCCAGAATTCAAATCTGGTCTCTCAGCTCCAAGGCAATATGGGAGATGGAGAAGATTAGAGATGAATTTGTATGCAAGGAAAATATTTTAGAATATTTTTTTATAAGAATTTATTCTGGACCTGTTGCTTGATTATATATACTGTGGAGACTGGGTATCTAAAGAAGGGAAAGGTCTGCTTCATTTCCAGGATCCTAGCTTGAGGTTGGTGGGGAGAGCCACGACATGATAAAAGGAAACACAAAACAGGCCGATACCGACCGCAAAAATCAACTGGTGCCATTTGAGACACGTGAATGTTCATAGTTGATCAGAAATTCAAATGAAGCTATCTAGCAGTTCTACGTCTAGAATTCAAAAAAGAGATTTCTAGATAAGAGAGAAATTTGAAAGTCATCTGCATGTAGATAAGTTATAATAGGGTTATGAACAGTACCTTGTAGAATATCTCTTCAGGCTAAAGGATAAAGACTAAAAAAACTGAATTGAGAAGAGATGACTGGGACCAGTACTTGGTGTAATGGCTATGTCACTGGACTCCCATGTAGTTGACACAGTTTGAGTCCTGGACCCAGTGGCTTGTGGCTTAAACTCACACTGGGCATGTGTGTGTCCATGTCCAAGATCACAAGAGGAGAGTGGAGGAGAAGGGATTGTGACATGGCCATCCCCCCCCGCCCCCCGCTGGGCATTATGTTGTTGGGGGTTTCTCACTCTCTGTCTCTCTCATCTTTCTGGCGAGTGTACATGCCCTAAAGAAAATGCCTCTCAAAAAAAAAAAAAAAAAAAAAAAAAGAGAGAGAGAAGAGATGACCATAGATATATTAAGAAACTAAAACAGTAATATCATGGCCAAGAAAGGATGACAAACTTAAGCGACCCTGATGTCATCGGGACATTGAAATAAATAAGAGGGCTGACTCCATAGCCTAGTGGTAAAGGGAGCCAGATCCCACATGGCCAACTGTGGTTTGAATCTTGACCCTGGCAACTTGAAAAACACCACATACATGTGCATGTCCCAGTTCCTGCAAGGATGAAGAGATGGAGGAGAAGGGAAGGTGGCATGATCACATCCCATGGGGAGGGAGTACTTTCTCCCTCTCTCTGTCTCTCTCTGGTCAGTGTATGTGCTCTCTAGCAATTTAATAAAAAAAAAAAAAAATTGACCAGTCCGTGGCCTGCTGATTAAGGCAGCTGGATCCTCTATGGCCAACTGTGTGACTCTAACTCCATGCCTGGCAGCTTAAAAAACACTGTGTGTGTGTGTGTGTGTTTGCATGCCCAACATCCCAAAAGGAGGGGGAAATGGAGGAGAAGTAATTGCAATGAGACCATGCCCCATGGAAGGTGATTTCTTTCTCTCTCTGTCTCTCTCTCTCTCTCTATCTGGCAAGTGTACATACCCTCTGACAAACTGAAAAGAAAGAGACAAGATGTTACATCTATGGGAGCTAACATCTAGCACATGGATGCTGGTGTGAGTGAGATCTGCAGTACAGTGGTTTTATGATTGACCAAGATAAGCTGTGTTAAATATTTTCAATTAAAATATAATTTCCATCTATAGGCTCTTTAAATAAAATGGGACTAACATCACTTCCCAAAACCAATCCCGTATCTACCATAAAAGCGATTCCATATGGTGAGTTAACGGCCATGTCGTTACTCTCTTTTTAATCTCCTTTCTTCATTAACTAGATGTCTCTTGGAAATCCTCATCTCACATCTGATATAACTCCATAGTGAAAAACAAGCTTTATATTGAGAGCTATGAAACTTCCAGAATCCTGTTTGGGTTTACATATAGACTCATGGATAGAGGGAAGGAGAAATAAGCTTTATATAGAAAGAAAGAAGTACAGAGAAAGGTCTTTTGTCTTCATTGATTTCTGTAGAAATTTAATACTTAAAATAATTTCCTAACATCTCTAATTAATTTGACGGGAAAATGATGTTTATGTTTCTGCTTTTGAACACACCTGCATCTTTTAGGTTGCTTATGCCCTGAAACATCTGATTAAATACTGTGATCTTTCATTATTCTACATGTATGTATTGAACATATTCTAGTGGAGGGACTATAATAGAAAGTTAAACAGGGTGCTTTAAGAGAGAAAAACTGCCTGGGAGTTGGAGAAGTATTCCTAGAAAAGACGTGGCTTGAGCTGAGCCCCAGTGGTTCCAGACAAGAGAACAGCATGTAGATGCTTGAGCAAACCTGACATGCTGGAGGACTAGTAATGGTTTCATACAGTTAAAAAAAGAGGTAAAGCCAGAACATACAGTGAAGAACATTGAATGCCGATAACAAACTTAAAAGTGTTCCTACTAGAATGTAAGTTTCATGTGGGTCAGTACTTTTGGCTGAGATTACACTGATATATCACCAATGTCTAAGATAATGTCTGACAAATAGCAAGCACTAGCGAAATATTGGCTAAGTAAATAGATAATATTCAGTAGGCTAGTTCCAAAATCCTACCAGAGGATTTGCCTAGCAGCGTTTTGGGCAGTCTTCTTGAAATCAGATGCCTTAGAAATGGATCTTGAGTTTTATAAAGATATTGACTCCCTTTTAGTCAATATATTTATAAATAGTTGGTCCTTATAAAAATATTGACCCCTTCTGGTCAATATCTTGACCAGATAGTCGTAACTGCCATATGCATAGCAGTAATTCCTAATGACTACTACATAGTGAGCCATTGGAGGAGTGCATCCTTAAGCATTTCATTTGGTTGGGTCATTGATTTCACCTTCTTTGCTGTAGACATCTGTGGCATCCCTCCAGTTAGTCCCCAGTCACTTTCTAGACGAATTGCCAGAGAAGAAGCCCGCCCCCACTGCTGGTCATGGCATTTGAGGCTTCTACGTGGTCACAAGTGTGAAGGTGCCTTGATCAACTCACCATGGATTCTGACTACAGAACCCTGTGTGCAATCGTGAGTGGAATGGGCATTTCCCTAACCTATGAGCACAGGTATTTATTGATGATATCTAGGACACAAGTATTTGTCTAGCTACTAAGATTATCCAGACTGATTTTAAAAAAGCAGGAATGTCTCATCTGTGTAGCCATATAGCTTTTATTTGAACAATATCAGGAAAATGTTCATAAAATTGTAAAATTGCTCACTCTCAATTACAAATATCTCAGATCATTATTTTCATCAAAGTCTGCTTTTGAACTACAGAAATCTGTTGGTCTAAATTTACTATAGAAGTTAACAAAACAAGCATTAAGTCTATTTCTTCTTTCACATAACAGTCCTCCATATATTTCAAGACCCTTCCCATATTTCCCTGTAGTTTCATTTTTAAGTAAGGTGCTCCTAGTTTTATGGTTGGTTGTAAATAATCCCAGATGCCTTAGCAGTACACCTTCTCCTGAATTGGTTTGTTCTTTTTAAAATATGGTGTGTGTCAGTGGAGAACACTAGGGTAGTATGAAGGATAATCCACTATCTTGACCACTGGACTACTATAAAGTAAAATTTTGGTTAATTTTTTATATTTGTTTTATTCATGAGATAGTGAATGCACATGCAACAGAGAAAAACAAATACCCTCAGCAGGGCTCACCACTCCCTGATTCCCTTTCACCAACTCTCAGTTTGTTAGCATCCGGGGCACACACGCACGTTTTCAGGCCACCCAAAGGTCTGAACCCATGGCTGGCAATGCAGCCTCCAGCACTACAGTTCAGTATGTTACCAACTGTGCCACCAGACTGGGTCAAATTTGGTTAACTTTTTAAATGTTTTTAAATTGTGGGGGCCGGCAGGTGGTGTAGTGGTTAAGGCACTCAACTCTCATGTGGTCAACCATGGTTCACGTCCCGGGCCCAGCAGCTGGAAACACGCTGGGCACATGCACATGTGTGGCCAAAGTCCCAAAAGGAGAATGCAGGAGAAGGGATTGCTTTCCATCTCTCTTTCTCTCTGGTGAGCACATGTACCCAGAGCAAAAATGTCTTTAAAAAGTTTTTACTTAATTGTGAGTTATTTCATGTTTCAAAAGAAGGTATGGAATATATGCATGCTTTAAAGAATAGGTATTACATGTTTCATTATCCAGTTTAGGAATGATCTCTACACTTACTTTTCAAGACCCCTTAGTGCTTCTCCTATGAGGTAAATACTTTGTTAAATTTCCTAGATTTTTCGTTCATAATACCTCTGATTTTTGAGAGAAGGGGACTTTAAACACACGCACATACAAAATACTGTATATTGTTTGTTGTTTTTGATCTTAACAGAATTATAACAGAATTACAGTTTATATTGTGTGACTTGCTTTTACTCTTAAAATGTTCCATAGACTAAGCCATGTGGATGTATATCATTTTAATTCATGTATTTTTAACTCAGATTAGTTAAATCAATCACTTATAATTAGCTGATGGACACAAGTATTTTAGAAATCTCCTCAGCGGCTTCCAATGTGTCTACAGGGTCAAAAACCACCTCAGTCTTTCTGCCCCTTATGCATGGCTTCCCTGGCTGCTCACAGCAGACCAGCCCCACTGGCTTTTCTGATGCGCAGACATGCAGAGTAATTTCCTCTCTAGGTCTTTGTAGTTGCTGTTCCCTCTGCCCTTCAGCAATCACATTACATTTAGTGGCCTAGCATCCTTAGACTCCTTTAGCTAGAAAATGCCTCAGACTTTCCTTGTTTTCTATGACCTTGGCAATTTTTAGGAATATTCATTTGGTATTTTGTAAAAATTCCTCAGTTGAGCTCGTTTGATATTTTTCTTATGGCTTTACTAGGGCCATAGATTTGTGAGAGGAAGACCACAGAGGCAACATACCATTCTTCCCACGTCATAGCAAGGTTACATACTATCAACATGACTTAGCACTTATAATTTTAACCCTGATCATCTGGCTGTGATAGAGTTTACCAGGTTTCTCCACTATAAAGTTACATTTCCCCTCTTTCCAAATTCACTCTTCAGAAGCAAGTCACTAAGGATAGTCTACATTTCAGGGACTGGGCAGTATGGGCAGTAAGTGCCACCTTTTTTTTTTTTTTTTTTTTTTTTTTGAGAGATTTTCACTGTAGGGCGCGTGCGCTCACCAGACAGACAGAGAGAGACATAGAGACAGAAAGCGAGAAATCACCCCCCAGGGGGAATGGTCACGCTGCAATCCCTTCTCCTCCATTCTCCTCTCGGGATGTTGGGCACGCACGCACACGCGCCCGGCGTGAGTTTTAAGCCACCGGGTCCGGGACACGAACCGTGGTCGACTACGTGGGAGTCCAGCGACATAGCCATTACACTAACTGCTGGTTCCCAGTAAGTGCCACCTTTTTGAGCAGGAACTATGTACATTGATAGTCTTCTGCGTGGGAGATTTGTTTCTTTTCTCTCCATTACCTATTTATTAAATCTTTTATTTATATCACTATGGACTCAGGATGTTACTTTATGCATACTACATATACTTTTTAAAGTTCATTTATTTCTTCCATGAACCAGAGAGGCTGAGAGAGAGAGAGAGACGGCACCCTCAGCCGAGTCTTCATGCCATGATCTGCCCAGTTCAGCTAGCCCTGGTTCATAGGCACGTATGAGTCTAGTGTACTCAGGGAGGTCTCTGGATTTGAACTGACAACCTTCCTATGTGAGATTGTCTCACAGAACATCACGTTCTACTGCTATACCAACCTGCCATATGCTCTCTAGACAGTGTAAGTATTTTTCATGGCTGGGCACCTAAAGCTTCACTAGACATTGTGACCTAAACTGTCAATTCTACCATGATTTTTATTATTTCATTGTGTGGTATACAAAAAAGTAGGGTAACTAAGAAATAAGTTCTTCACTACCAAGTAGTAATTGAGAGGATGACTTTGAAAATAAAGTTTAAGCCTTGCATTGGAGTACCTAGCAGATTATAACGATAATGTCTACCATTAAGGAGTCATTACCATTTGCAAGGTGTTTGCCAAGCACTTTACCTTAGTTAGCTCCCTTAATAAAGGCACATTGAAACACATGAATAAGTCAAAGTCATCATGCAAAGAATTGAAATGAGCATGGCTATGACTAGAAAGAAAATGCCTGAGTTTCGAGAAGCTTCTCTTTTGAATAAAGCGAATTAATAATTTCAATAGCTTTACTTTTTCTGAAGAAGGTTTCAAACAAATGGAAGAATTAATCTCCAAGCAGAAGTGACAGTGTATCTCTGGTAATTGAGGGAATCTATCATCAGATATTTTTTTAACTGGAGATCTTGCTATGGGAAACAAATGGATGTTAATTCAAGTTTTTTTGTTTGTTTGTTTTTTTCCTTTGGAGAGGTTTTTGCTACAGGGCACGCGCACTTGCCAGACAGACAGAGAGAGACAGAGAGACAGAAAGCAAGAAATCACCCCCCACCAGGGGGGATGGCCATGCCACAATCCCTTCTCCTCCTTTTTTCTCTGGGATCTTGGGCGCACACACACACGACTAGTGTGAGTTTTAAGCCACCAGGTCTGGGACGCGAACCGCGGTTGACTACATGGGAATCCAGCGGCATAGTCATTACATTAACTGCTGGTCCCATTAATTCAAGTTTTTTAACATCTTTTTGAAATCTATCAAGAGTGTGCAAATCTTAAACTTACAGTAAGAAGGATTTTCACAAAGTGAACACCTATGTAACCAGCATCTAAATCAAAAAACAAAGAATTACCAATATCCAGCAAGCCCCTGGGGTCCCTTCTACTTATCACTCCCTAAGAGTAATCAGCACCCCTATTTTTAATACCAGGGGTAAGTTTTCCATTTTTGAACTAATAGAGTCTTCTTAACCTAAGTTTGATCAATTCTGATAACTCGATAAGAGATGACAGTTTAAAGTACACGCCTGCCACACAATGTTCAGATCATTTTGAACAGTAAAACAGACCAGAAGCTACCTTGCTATGAATGCAATTTTTTAAACATTTCTTTAATATCACTGGGAAACGAGAATAAGCTTTAATTTTTCTCTTTCTCCTCTCTACTTGAAAATAGCCTCTGGTGATATTTGATAAGGGCTCCAAAGACATTTTATAGCCAACAGAAGGAGATAAATTATAGAATTAATACAGTTAATCACTTCTTAGCCTGTTGTATTAGATCAAATGAAGCTCCACAACTAAGAGCTCCTCATGTAAGTTCAGAGCATGTTGTGGCTTCCCTGATAGGGTGACCACACAGAGGTACCCAGACAAGGGGTTGGTGTCACATGACTAAATTGAGTTTTGGGATTTTTTTTTTTTTTTTTTAGGTTTTTGTCTTAGGGCACATGTGCTTACCAGAGAGAGACTATGAGAGGGAGAGAGAGAAATTGCCCTCCTGGGGTGGGAGAGTGGAGGAATGGCCATGCCAAGTCCCTTCTCCTCCATTCTCCTCCTGGGACTTTGAGTACACATGCACATCATACCCGGTGTGATTTTAAAGCCCCCAGGTGCGGTACATGAACCGTAGTCAGCCATGTGGGAGTCCAGAGCCTTAACCACCGTACCACCTGCTGGAGATTTTATGTCCAACTTTCCCAGGAAATGTAATATGCTCTTCTGGACTATAATTACTGGGGACCATAGCAGAACCCTGAAGAAATCAACTGAGCAGGTGAGAAATGTTTACAAAGTTCATTCTAAGTGCCCTCTATATGGTGTCACGTGCCAGGGAATACCTTTGGTTAAAACAAGTAATTAGTTATTAATTTGTTAATCCCCTTGTGCTCTTTTACACTTACTGTTTATACATATATTTAAAGATGAAATTTAAGATTGCATTTTAATTTGAGAATCAGGTAATACTGGTCAGAAAGGGAAATTCAGGTCTACGTGAACAGGTTCACATTGTTTAGTTTTCTCCAGGACCACTAACCTTCAGAAGGTGGCTCATGGCCTCCTGCAAATTAGAAACCAAGATTGCTCATTTAAACTTACTACAAAGTCATGTTTGTTGTTGAAGTTTAGAAATGCAGATTTAAGATTTGTTTTGGACTATTATACAAGAAAGTAGTGTGACTCTTTGACTTTTTTTTTTTCTTAAGAGTTATTATATTTTAGTTGTCATTATTATCCTTCAAATTGACCAGAGAGAAAACAAACCACTAGGTCCAGGACTCAAACCATAGTTGGCCATGTGGGAGTCCAGTGCCTTAACCACCATACATCCTGCTGACTTCCTAATTTCACAATATGCTCACTTGCCATTTGTACAGGGGGAAAGGGCCAGGCACATCATAGTACATGGCAGCTTGGGTATACTGAGCTATGACGGTGATGTCACCCTGACACAGCTGAGCTCTCCTCTGGAGTACAAGTTGGTGATGAGGCGGGTGTGTTTGCTGCACAGTACGAAGCCCCTGTTTTCCTCTGAGGTCTGTGCAGTGATCAAATGGGGAAGCATTAACAAAGGTAATCATTTGTTTTTGTTTTGTTTTTCAGATTATTTTCACATTTTATGTAAATGTCACCACATTTTACACAAATTTACACAAAAGTCACCCTCATGATGAATACAATATATATTCTTTTTCATTAATGAACTATACATTTTTCCATCTGCCAAATGTTTCCTCCCCTTGCACTTCACACCCACCCTCTACTACCCACTCGATACCATCCACTCTTCCCTCTGACAGTCTCTAGCATTCACACCCATCCTCTCTACCATCACATCTTCAGATCTCTCAACCTGGGCCATACGGTGCACACACTCAGTAAAAATTGATACACAATGTATTTTTCAAAATCTGCCCCACTTCTTTCAACATGAAGTCTTCTATATCCACTTTGAGTGTAACGACAGGATCTTATTGTCTTTTATAGCTATATAATATTCCATAGTATATATGCACCACAGTTTTGCAACCCAGTCTTCAGTTTTTGGACACTTAGGTTGATTGCGTGTTTAATGATTGTGAATAATTCTTCAGTAGACGAGGATGTATAAGTATCTTTCCGATTGAGTGTTTTCCTATCCTTTGGGTAAATACCAAGGAGTGGGGTTACCGGGTCATACGGTATTTCTATTTGTAGTTTTTTATTTTTTGGAAAGGGGTCATACGGTATTTCTATTTGTAGGTTTTTATTTTTTGGAAAGGTTGTTTTGTTGTTGTCATTGTTGTTACAGGGCGCGTGTGCTGGCTAGAAAGACAGAGACAGAAAGCGAGAAATCAGCAGGCACATGCACCTGGAGTGAGTTTAATTCACAGAGTCTGGCACTCGAACTGCACTCAATTACATGGGAGTCCAGCGACATAGCCATTACGCCAACTACTGGTCCCTATTTGTAGGTTATTAAGGAAACTTCATATTGTTTTCCATAGAGATTGTACTGATTTACATTACTACCAACAGTATAAGAGGGTTTCCTTCTCACCACAGCCTTGCCAGCACTTGCCATTCTTTATTGTTTTGATGTTAGCCATTCTAACTGGGATTAAATACTAAATAGTATCTCATAGCGGTTTTAAATTGCATGTCCCTTATGATAAGAGACTTTGAACATTTTTTAATATGTCTTTTGGCCATTATGCCTTTTGGCCATCTTCTTTGGAATATTATCTATTCAATTCATTGGCCCATTTTTTAATTAGGTGAGCTGCTAGTGTTCCCTACATAGTCCTCATTCCCTTTTTTTGGGGAATAATTTGCAAAAAGTTTCTCTTATTCCAAGGGTTATTTTTTCACTTAAATTATTGTTTCTTTTGCTGTGAGGAAGCTTTTTAGCTTGATATAATCCTATTTGTCTATTTTTGGTATTATTGCCTTATTTAAGAAATTTTTGTCTACTTCAATGTCTTCAAAAGTTTCCCTACCATTTCTACTAGTAGTTTTGTGGCTTAAGGCTTTATATTTAAATCTTTGATCCATTTTAAATTGATTCTTATTAATGGTGAGTGATAGGGGTCCAGTTTCATTTCTCTGCAGGTGGACATTCAGCTCTCCCAGCACCGTTTGCTCAGAAGACTTTCTTTTCTCCACTGCATTGTCTTGTACTCTTTGTCAAAGAAGGTAAGCATTTGACTTTTGCATTAACATTACTGCCAGTTGTTACTTTCAAAATTACGTCATGGAACTGGTCTCAAACAGTATCTGCTTTATCCTCTCTTCTTTTCAAAAGACCAAAAAAAAAAAATCCATGTTTTATTTATATGTACTAGTAGGTGGTTAGAGAACAAGTTGTTTTAAATTTTCCATTCAGGATGACTTAGATTATCAATAGATTAGATCAGAGCAAAGAGCCAGAGAATAAGTCTTTTAGGCTTTGTGAGCCATCTGGTCTCTTTGGCAACTACTCAGTTCCTACCATTGTAGCATGAAGTTGTCATACACTGTATGTGATAGAATGATGCGTCTGCATTCCAACAGAACTTTCTGAAACTTAAATTTCATATCATATTCATGCGTCACAAAATATTGTTCATCTTTAGATTTTTTTCTCCCACCACTAAAAGTGTACAAACCATTCTTAGCTCATGGGTTGTACAAAATAGTCTTGGGTTTAGGGGATGACACAGAATGGACCCCCTAACAGTCGTTTGCTCTACCCTAGGCTTGATGATAGCATTTTAAAAAACACAGTAGACTGCTTAAAGATCTAAATGAATGACTATTTGTTTTCTGTTCTTTCTCTGTTCAAATGTTTTCTTTATATATCTTGCTTCTATAACATTTACTTGGAATCTGTAAGCTAGAAGGAGAAGGGAATTTCTTTGCCTACAATTTTTGTTTTCACGGCTTATTACCTACAGGCAAATTGCATTTTCACAGTCTTCACAGTCACCATATGAGAAGCCTTTATCATCCCCATGTACAGAGGAGGAGGTTGCATAAATAACCGCCTAAGATTCCATGAGTTATAAATATCAGAGCTAGGATTTAAACTCAGCACGGCTCTGTTTATCATCATTCCTTGAATGGTTTCTCATTACGCTTAGAATAAACTCCGAACTCTTTAGCCTGGTTTGGAAAGTGCTGTGTGATTTCACCTCCACTTAACTTTCTACCATCATTTCTGTCTTTGGTCCCTTGGTCGGTTAGCCTTCAGGTAGAGTGGCCTTGTTTGTTTCTCAATACCAAACTTGTTCTGCTTTCTGAAGTTCAACACGCTATTTCCTCCCATTAAAATCTTCTCATAGCTGCTTCCTCGTCTTTCCATTCTCGACTGAAATGTCACTTCCTTTCTCTGGCCATTTTGCTGCAGAAAGACTGCCCTTCCATCCCATTCAGCAATATTCAGCCTATCCAGTTTTTTCATTTTTAAAAATTTTGCCTTACTATTTGTTTAGTTTGCCATAGGTCTTATATCAGAAGAAATCATTCTTTTCAGCTGTAGAAAAAGTTAATTCTCAATTTTTATGACATGATGAGCCACACTGATAGGGATAATCCCTGAAAACAGGATTTTTAGTACATTTAAAGGAATAGGAGATTTAGTTTGACCTAGGCTTGAGTCCTCGTTCTGTCCCATTCAAGCGCTGAGATCAGATTTCAGAGGTTGGGCTCTTTCATGGGAGAGGTCAGTGTAATTAACCTACCTCACAGTGTTGTCATATTACTAGGTTAGCATAAAGGACCTTACAAATATACCATATAGGGTACCACGTAAGGAGTCTTCAATGAGATCATGGAAAATATATTTTATCAAAACTCTATGGGTAGATATCAAATGTTTTTCACATCAAAACAAACTTGCCCCCACCTCTTTTTTTTCCCAAAGAATTACTTATTTAATTATATTTGCTATTATTATTTATTTTTAAAATTTGACCAGAGACAGAGAGAGAAAGAAAGAGAGAGAGAGAGAGAAAAGGAAAGAGAGAAAACAAGCCACCAGGTCAGGGACTTGAACCGTGGTCAGCCATGTAGGAGTCCAACACCCTATCCTTCACACTACCTGCCGGCCCTGTCCCTTCCTCTTTTTAAGAGTGTATTCCATGAGCAAGAGAGACAGAGATAGCAAGATTCAGCACCATTGGATCACTGACAAAGCCTCATGCTGTGATCGTATTCAGTCAGTCCATATTATGACCTATTCAGGGAGTTTACCGGACATGAACCAGCAACCTTCTTATGTGGGTCTGCCTTGGAGAGCATTGTGCTTTACCCTGGTACCACTGTATAGTCCCTGAACATCTACATTTTAAGAATTATTTATTTAATATTATTATTATTGTTATTTTAATTTAACCAGAGACATACACTGAGACAGAGAAAGAGGGAAGGTGAGAAAATAAGCTACCAGGTCCAGTGCTTGAACCTCAGTCAGCCATGTGAGAGTCTAGTGCCTTAACCACCATGCCACCTGCTGGCCCCCTGAATTATACTTTAATTCTATTTTTCCATGAAAAATTGGAAGACCCTTTATATAAATAACTTTAATAATTCTCCTAAAAACTACAGAGCTGTAAAATAGAAACTTAACTTTTTAACTAGCCATAACTCTAAAATGATGAACTATATCAATTAGAATACACATTAACACAGGCCTGCCTGAGGGTCAAGTATGAGAAGAAATTCTGTAGTTCTTATCATTAATGTAAATTGGAGAAGAGATTAAGCTATAGTCACAGTAGAAGAAAAAGAGGAATGTATTAGGTTGTTGGAAAAGTCATGATGCATTTTTACATAGAAAAACAGAAAAATAAGTCATGATTTTCCCGATGACCCAGTAATTTTGGTTTATATTAGGAAATCATTCAAATGTGTAAGCATATGTATGTTATATGTGTAAATATATAGCCATATACATATATAATCTTCAAAAAATATATATAACAATAATAGATACCTCGCCAGATTTTTCTTTGAGAATTCTTAGGTAGCAATATTTGACATACTAATTTGTTTCCTTTTTTATAATTATTTATTTAATTCTACTTATTATTATTATTATTTAATTAGACCAGAGAGAGAGAAAAAAAGAGAGAGAAACAGAAAGTGAGAAAGCAAACCACCAGGTCTGGGACTTGAACTGCAGTTAGCCATGTGGGAGTCCAGTACCTTAACCACCATGCCACCTGGTGGCCCCACTAATTTGTTTTCTAAATGACAGTGAACATATGTGTACCCACTCAGCATGTTTTCTGCTAACCCAGAGATCAGAACCTGCAGTTGGCCATGTTCTTCCAGCCTTGCAGCGTACCATGTTACAACAGTTGAGTCTACAATTTTACTTGGAAATAAGCTAGGGAAGAAGTGTTGAAAGTGTTTCCGATCTTGTTTTCCTGCTGGAGCCTTCCTTTACAAAGTGCCACATCTGGAAATAAAGACATGCTACACAGAGCCCTCACGTTAGAATAGAGCAGGTCTGAACTTAACCACGTTTCTTTCATAGCCCTTGCTGCTTACTTGAACATCAAGCTCTCTCTTTCTGGATCTGTTTCTTAATTAGATCATGGCCTCGCAAGTCGCTTACAGCAGATCCGAGTGCTGGTGTTAGGAAGAGAGGGCTGTGAGCACACTTACTACTCTGTTCACCCACAAGGGATCACAGAAAAGATGATCTGCACCGACTTCTCAGCCTCTGGAGGGAAAGGCGCCTATCAGGTGAGAGGATTCTCAGTTTTTCACAAAAAGGGATCGATAAAATGTCATCTGCTGGTGGTGCTCCTTAGGCACAAGGGCACCCCTGTCAGGCCACAGGTGACCAACCAGGCAGTGCCACATCCCTACATGAAGCAACCAGGCAGTGCCACATCCCTACATGAAGGCCAGTAGGACAAGGGGAAGAGCGAGTTACTTAATCCAAACTTGCCGAGATGTGGAGAGCGGCCAGCAAGGCCAGTGGGAGTGCAGAGAAGCCCACGGGCAGGTTGAGATGCAGCACTGCAGCAGGCCGAGGGCAGGAACGTGTGTTTACACAGCGATGCTTTGGGGAAAGAGAAGCCAGTGAACTCGGGTTCTAAATTTGAACCCTTCTTATGTCTCGAGTCTTACTGTTTTAATTGCTATCAAACACTTCTGTACTCTCCGTTAATTTTCCATTGCAGATTAAACTAACCACAAAAAGGGTGGTATAGTATTTAAGGTGCTAGATTCCCACATGGTCAACTGTGATTCAAGTCCTAGACCTGGTGGCTTGAAACTCACACTGGGTGTGTGCGTATGTGTGCCCAAAGTCCTGAGAGGAGAATGGAGGAGAAGGCATTGTGGCGTGACCATACCCCCCTTAGGGGTAATTGTTATTTTCTGTCTCTGTCTGTCCAGCATGCACACACGCCCTATAGCAAAAACTTCTTAAAAGCACACAGGCACCTATGAACATTTAAACAAATGGTTTTCAAATTCAGTGAAAAAAATCACAAAGTAATAGTTTAATTTTGATGAGATTATAGAAGCACAAATTTGTTCAGATCTATTCATGTGTCAGTTGGGCTGCCATGATATTGACAAGTCCACGATCAACCAAGAAAGAGAATATGACTATATGGATTGCAAAATACCTGCGTAATAACCACAGTGTCAACTGTGGAATGCAACTTTAGATATACAGCCTAAAAGAGTTTCTTTTTTTTTTTTCTTGGAGAGATTTTTGCTACAGGGCACATGCGCTCGCCAGAAAGACAGAAAAAGAGAGACAGAAAGGGAGAAATA